GATGAATTTCCGACACTCAGCCAGCTCACCGAATTTCTAGTCGCTCGTGCTCGACCATTGGAGACCATAGAATCCTCATCCACGCTAGCTCAATCCAATGTGCAGAAAGGGACTGTGATTACTCGGGCAAGCTCGCATCAGGCGTCTCAACAGCCTCCAGCCACCTCAACAAGGTCGGTAGCTCATCAGACTTCTCGTCCAGCTCAGTCCCGGACAGTATATCCGTGTGACTGTTGTGGGCAAGATCACTACATCGCGATCTGCCCAAGAATGCGAGGCTACTCGGTCAACCAAAGGGTGAGGTTAATCAAGGACAGGAGCCTATGCTGCAATTGCCTAGGCAGGCACAATCTGAGGAAGTGCAACAGCCGACAGCATTGCAAGACGTGCAACGACTTCCAGCATACCTTGTTGCATGGTGCTGACCTCTCAACCATCTTTGATCCACCAAGAGATAGGGCTCAGACCGCTCAGGAGGTGCCGGATGCACCCGCTCTTTCAGACAAGTCTTCTCAAGCATGAAGCTCAGGGCAGCTCGTTGAGAGTTGCGATCACCCTATGTCTAGCTCAGCGCATCTCAGTCATCTCACATTGCTGGCCACAGCGACAGCGATAGTCGTCTCAGCAACAACATCAGTTCAAGTTCGTTTGCTCATTGACCCTGGATCAGAAATCTCGTTCGTCTCAGAGAGGCTCACCCAGCATCTCAAGCTTCAACGAAGGCACTCAAGGCTGGACGTTTATGGTGTCGGCGGAAAACGCACTTCTCAAACAAGAGGAATTGTCACGCTCAACCTTCAAGCAAGGTATAGACTACTCACGGTGACAATTTCAGCTCACGTACTCAAGAAAGTTACCACCATCCTGCTGGCCATAAAGATACAACAGGAACCAAAATGGCCTCACCTGAAGGGTTTGAATCTCGCTGATCCAGAGTTTCTCGCTCCAAGGGCAGTAGAGGTTATAGTCGGAGCAGACTTCTACGGCCAGCTCATCAGGCCTAACATCATTAGGCACTCAGAAAGATCTCCCATTGCTCAGTTGTTCATCTTTGGGTGGCTGATAATTGGCCCAATTCAGGCACCTGTCACACTTGCAAGGACGACTCATCATGGCAGCTCTCAGGCATCAAACTCATCCTTGCAAGAGTTGTTGACACGGTTTTGGGTCCAAGAAGAACCTCCATCATCGAACAACTCACCGCTCACTCCTGAGGAGCAGGAGTGTGAGCTCCACTTCAAGACCACTCATTCAAGGGACTCGACAGGGCGCTACATCGTCAGGATACCGCTTAAGTCGCCCCCAACAGTCCTGGGAGATTCTTATCAGACAGCTCATCGATCGCTCTAACGAATTCTCAGACGACTTGGCAGAGACACTCAGTACGACCGACTGTATACTCAGTTCATGCGTGAGTATGAACAGGCTCAACACATGCTCAAGCTCGATGACAGCTCAGCTGGTAGAAGGCCACACTACTATCTGCCTCATCATGGGGTTCTCAAACCAGACAGCTCGACCACGAAGCTCAGAGTTGTTTTCAACGGTTCAAGCGCCAGCTCCACTGGTCACTCGCTCAATGACATAGTGCACGCTGGTCCTAATCTGATGCTCAACATCTTCGACTTGCTCATTTGGATACGTCAACTCAAGTATCTCTTTGCGACTGACATCACAAAGATGTACCGGCAAATCAAGATACACCCAGATGACAAGGATCTTCAACGCATCGTGTGGGTGAACGAACAGCACGTTAAATCTCATTTTCAGCTTACCGCAGTATCCTATGGAACTAAGTCAGCACCGTTCCTGGCTGTACGAACGCTCCTTCAGCTTGCTGAAGATGAAGGCTCTCAGTATCCTCTTGCTGTCAAACCGATCACTCACGGGCGTTACGTTGATAACATCTTCGGAGGATCCCATACAGTGGAACAGCTCGTGGAGACTGCTCACCAACTCATACGGCTCTGCCATGCGGGCGGATTCCCGCTGGCCAAGTGGCACTCTACTTCTCAGCAACTGTTGAGAGAGGTCTCGTCTGAGCTTGGCGAGACCTCAGGCATCTCATTCGATGACTGTGATAATAAAATCCTTGGTATTCGATGGTCACCTCAACAGGATGTGTTCGACTTTTCAACAATTTCGTCTGCTCTCTCCAAACGATTCTCAAAACGTCTCGTCCTCTCAGAAGTAGCACAGATATTTGATCCATTAGGCTTCGCCTCTCCAGTCATAATAAAAGCTAAGATCTTTCTTCAGTCCCTCTGGTTGCACAATCTCGACTGGGACGACTCACTCTCAGAACAGCTCATTTCCTAATGGCTCAGCATCAGACAAGATCTCATTAGCCTGGCCAGGCTCTCTATCCCACGCTCTCTAATTCAGCTGTTGAACTACATGGCTTCTCTGATGCATCGCAATTCGCAATCGCAGCTGTTGTGTATCTCGTTGTCAACTCGCCGTCCACTGGCGCCAAGGTCTCTCTCATTTGCTCAAGGACAAAGGTCTCCCCGCTCAAGCGGCTAATCATCCTGAGGTTAGAACTCTCAGCAGCGCTGCTACTCTCCACGCTCATGAATCATGTTTGCGCTACTCTAAACATGAACTTAACTAAGACAAATTTGTGGACGGACTTTCAAGAAACACTCATATGGATCAAGACTCATCCATCAAGATGGAAGGATTACGTACGCAACCGCGTAATCAAAATTCAAGAACTCTCAAGGAACGCTCATTGGAGGTATGTGCCAGGCACATCAAACCCAGCTGACTGTGCATCGCGTGGGATATCCACAGATCAGCTGGAAAAGCACACTCTATGGTGGACGGGACCACCATGGATCACTCAATCAATGGCATCATGGCCGGCTCAGGTCGATACTGCTCCTGATGACTCATGTGCACAAGAAGCTCGTGCTCGTGTCGCACATCACGCGGTACAATCTTCTCCGAGTTATCATTGGGATCTCATCCATCGATTCTCAACGCTCAAATGGTTGCTCCGAGTTACAGCTCTCTGCAGTAGATTTMTCAAGAGGCTCTCAGGAGAGCTTGACTCGGCACCAGCAGCCTGTATCTCAGTCCAAGAAATGGAAGACTCACGACTTTTTTGGGTCAAGGCTACTCAATCGGCGTACTATCCAGAAGAAATCTCAGTGCTCTCAAGAAAATCTCAACTGCCAAGCTCGCACCAACTCTCTAGGCTCACCGCATTCGTTGATGCCGGCGGTGTGCTCAGAATGGGCGGTCGCCTTTCAAGGTCCGAACTCATGTACGAGGCCAAACATCCAGCGATTCTCCCTCGTAACTCCAGGTTCTCAGAACTCGTCATCGCCCATGCTCATAAAAAGACGATGCATGGAGGCACTCAGTCGACTCTGGCACTCATCAGACAACTCTACTGGATCATCAGAGGAAGAGCCCCAGTAAAGTCCAATGTTCTCAGGTGTGGTGTGTGATCGTTACAGGGGGATCCGTGTTCAGCAACTGATGGGCCAACTACCTCTGGCGCGAGTCACTCCCTCACGCCCGTTCTCTCACACAGGCATTGACTACGCTGGACCGCTCACGCTCAAGACCACTCGAACCGCTCAGCGATGATCCAGAAGACACCTCAGTGCTTACACCAGGGCACTTTCTCATTGGAACGGCACTCAACGCTGTTCCTGAAGGCTCACTATTAGACATCTCAGCAAGTCGGCTCTCCAGATGGCAGTTCATCCAGCAACGAGTTCAACAGTTCTGGCGCATGTGGTCAACTGAGTACTTACAACAGTTACAAGCCATCTCAAAGTGGCATCACGCTCACAACCAGATTCAGGTAGGTTCACTTGTTCTCCTTACTGATGAGCGTTTGCTTCCAGGAAAATGGCCCATTGCTAGGATGCTCAAGTTGATGCCAGGGGAGGATGGACTCACCAGGGTGGTATCACTGAAGACGGCTACCACAACACTCACCAAGCAGATCGCCAAGCTCGCAGTCCCTACAGTAGCCCCTAAAAAGACAGCGTAACTCATCATTAACTCCGTTGCTGATGGCGGGCGGAAATGTTTGGGATTTAATCTGCCTAATGAGAACTTGCGACAGTTGTCGCTCTGTGCGGACTCGCCATAACTCATCACAACGGTTGAAGAATCATCTTGACTCCGGCTTGTCAGTCAGTCATCTCTTTGCCATCACATATACAACACGTGTCTTCTCATTACATTCTAAAATGTCATCGATTAGTACTCTCCATCTCGTTCCAACGTGTCTTCTCAACTCTGCTATACGTCTTCTCACAAAAGTACAAGTTCGGTGGGATTAATATAATCTTCATCGTTTGGATCTTATCTGATTAATATAAT